GTTTGTTTGGCATCTATGCTCCGTGCCCTCCAAATAGTATGAGAGCCTTTCAGCTAGTACTGCTCACACTCCTAGATCTTCACGGCACCTCCCCCATACCACATCTCCTATAAATAAAAAGGACCTGTAACCTTCCAAGTTAAATCATTTCTTCTCAAGCCATTCTTTACTTCTCTCCTCTTAAGTTCATATACTGACTTAAGCATTGGAGCGTGGTACGCCGGCACCATGTCGACATCCACTCACCTTCTCTTTTTGTAGGTCGTTTTCGCCTCAACTTCCAAAACCAAGATCTCGTAAAGACTATAAACTCTCTCGGTCTTCCAAACAACAAGATCTCATCATTTCCATGTTCACAACCTATCGGGTCTTGGCTTCTCCTAACCAGACCCACTCTCCTTGATCACTTGGCGGTCGTGGTTCACCGACTCTCAATCCGACCAACTTCCCAAAAATTGCATCAATAATGTATTTGTTGAACTAAAAAAGAAATTGAATGGTAGATTTTTATTTAAATATTGAGTGGGAGTTGAAAACATATGATTCTCTAGGGAAGCTGGTAAAATGATTAGAAATTAGGGGCGAGCGAACAAGGAACTGATAATTGTCCTCCTTCATTTTGTATTGATTGTTTATACAATTTATTTATTATTTTTTTTTTACTTTTAAAAATTAAGTTTATAAACCATATTTCGAACGTAATTATTTGTTTTGTTATCCAACTCTTTGAAAACGTTTTAAAAATATAAGTCAAAATTAAAAAATTTTAAAAAATATATAGTTCTTAAACTTTTGTTTTTTTTTCCTTAAGAAATGTGAAAAAAAGAAACCAAATAAATTGCTAGGATGAAATAAGAACTTTTCACGACAGGGAAAAAAAAAGAAATCATATCAAATAAGGGCTAAAAGATTTTAGAGTTTTCTTCTGATTATCATGGTTGAATTTTTAAAATAAAAAAGATAGGTTATAAAAACTGTCAAATCACCATGGTTGACTCATTAGTCCAAAAGAGCTAAGGTTAATTAGGAGAAAATAAGTTCAAAATCCACGATGGTCACTTTACCTAAAGAATAATTAGTAGTCTCGATCAAATATAATATTTCTATGAAAATATAATGGAAAAGAATTGATATTTTGAGCTCCCAAGAACCCTAAGCTTACTTTATCATATTGGAGAAATCTTTTATTTATTTTATCCAAGTGATTTACAGTCATTCAATAATATTATATGTGTAATATATATATATGTAGGGATTTAATTACATATTATGGTTGGTAGGGAAAAGATAATGAGTGTGTATGGACCTTTGATGGTGCTTTTGGACTAGCCTATATGAGTGAATCAAATCATTGATATTTTAACCTCTAACAAATCCATCACTTGACATTATTGTAGATTTGTGTTATTAATTTGGGCTCCACGTCTTTGCATTTTCATCCCCATGATCATAGAATTTTGGAAACAAAAGGTTTATAAAATCAAATTACATGATTGGTAGAGTATCGTATTTTGGAGAAAACACACCATGTAAATTCAATCATCGTATTTATAACGATTACTTAGTTAGATGTTAGATATTGATTAACAACTGATGTCCAACAAATAAGGAAAATCACTCGAGTTGTTCAGTCAATATGAACTTAGCTCAACTGGTTAAGACACCTATTTCTGACTTTAAAATTCTCATCTCCACGAGTTGTTGGGATTAAAAAAAAAGACACTTGAGTTGTTCAATGATATAGATATATATATAGCGTTTACTAAAGTAATGATAAATTAAGTACATGATGATAAAGGAAGAGTAGAGAATTCATAGATTATAAATAGAAAGTAATTATACCTCAAACAACTTTGTGTATGATATTTAAAGAGGGCGTTTGCTAAAATTTAAGAGAACCCTAATGTGGTAGAATTCGGGATCACGTAGGCCATGAAGTAGTGGAGAATGTTGTTTCGTGACTCAAAAAATCTTATAGTTAGACAAGCAATTAATAACATAAGGCATAAGTATTCATTTAATTTGTTGAGCTAGTGAAACTCTAGACGTGATTGTTGAGTGGTGGGTAAGAATTTCTAATACAAGATATATGAGGGAGAAAAAAGTCAACCTGAACATAACCAAACAATCAAAGAAGTGACAACACTTTGAAATAATTTTAATTCTCATATTTTGATATTGAAATGATTCCAATCTTAATTTTGACTACCAAAACCAAACAATGCCTTCTCTTTCTTTTCAAATATACAAATGGAAGGGATTGGATTCCAAGTGCTTTTTCTTCTTTTTTTTTTTTTCTTTTTTAGTATTAAGAATGGAAACAAAATTAAGAGCCACTAGCTAATATGGATGTGGGAATAAACATATTCAGAAATTTGGATTTGACAATGCTAAAATTTTGGGAATCTAATGGGATTTCCCTTACTATATGCAAACACTTATTTTTGGAACAAGAACATATTCATATTCAATACATAGTGGCAACAATCTCCTTTTTTTTTTTTTTATAAATAAATTGTATTTTTCATATTCAAATTAAATCTACCAAAGCCACGCATCAAAATATATCCTAATACTAATTGGATTGAGATTGAAGATATATATAAGAAGAAATCTCCAATATATGTTAATATATGTTAACCACTTGAACGACGATGATTAATCTATAACTTAGATTATACAATACCACTTTTATTGCTTGACATTTAATGTTATGTGAGTTTTGTACTTGATTTTTGCATCTCAAGTCATGAAGGTTAGGTTTAAAAAATGATGTCATGGACAAAACTTTGCTTCTAAGAATCACTTATCAATTTCACCCTAAAAATGTCAAAGTTTGACCATTTAAAAATACAAAATTCAGCAATCATTTTCTGGATAAAGACACCATCCTTGTAAGAAAAATGATATAAACAAAAATGAGTGATAAAAGTGAGAAAAATAATTTCAAGTTATTCATGAAGTATATCATTTATCGTACGAATAATAGGATGTGCCTATATACTAGACGCCTACACGAGGGACAAGGTAAGGTACCTCTAGTTATCTTGTAGATCCTATAAAATAAGGACATCGAGGTTGATTCATGAATTTTCTTCTTACCAATATTGAAGTTTGCTTAAAATTAAAGAAAAAAAAAACAAAAGAGTTCAAGAATGATATGTCAAACTATTCACACGAACGGGCTATTTTGACCCTATACTAGATGGCTACACTAATGTCAAGTCATCTCTAGTGATTTTATACATAGTTTCTATACAGTAAAGACGATGAGATCGATTCATGAATTTTTTACCTACCATCACATTTTGCTTWAAAAAAGAAAAAAAAATTGATTTGTCAAATCATGTTCTCTAAGAATGGTAAATCAACAGAACTCTAAAAAGTCATCAACTTCAGTTACCATTTATGTAAATTCCATACAAAATTTAAAAAATAAAATAACTTTAACTTCTAGCAAGTAATTCGTTTAGTTCAAATCGAAAAAACTGTTTCTTTTTTTTGCAAAAAATAATAATAATAATAATAATAATAATAATAATAAAGTTTGTTGGACAGATTCTTTATTTGGTTTAATTATAAATTTCATCCTTATAATTTAGACCTAATTTTAACTTGGTTTCTAAAAATTTATTAAAATCTATCTTCTTCCATTTTCTACTCAAACCTAAATGTTAATGTAGTCAAACCAATATAATTAACCAAATAAAAAACATCAGTATTCCAATAGGGAAAAATAGCGTCAAAACAGTACGACAGAGACACCTTATGAAATTAAAGGATCAAATTTAAAATTTTAAGTTAAAAAATATATTAAGTTAAAGTAATAATTTAATTTTTAAATTTTAATCCGAAACGATTTAGTCATTTTTAAATTGGTAACAATTTAATCTGTATAATTTACAATTTGTCACAATTTAGTCTTATTGTGAAAATTCTTATCAAAATTAAGTTTCGAGTTTTATCATACAACGATTTAGTCTTTGTAATTTATAAAAATACATTTAGTCCCTCGTCAGTTTAATCGAACTACAAATATAAGAAACTGAACAAAAATTTTCACGATAGAAACTAAATTGTTACAAATTTGAAATTATAGAAACTAAATAATGGTTACATATTAAAGTTTGAGACTAAATCGTTACTCCAATAAAAATACACGAATCAAAAAATATTTTTTAATCAAAATTTTAAAATTCCAGCATCCCAACGGCATTAGGCAGACACATAGACAAACAAGTCCTTCTGGCCAGGGGCTGTTAAGTCAAAGCCTACTTCTGCTTTTCTTTTTCTTTACCAAATATTTCCCATTATTATGATTTATGCCCATCCCTCCAAACATAATTATTATTTCTTTTTCTTTTTTTTATATATAAATTAACAAAGAAAAAAAAAAGAAAATTCTTGGTTCCTTCCTTCCTTCAACCAAATAAATGCTATCCTCTTGTTCCAATTCCATGGACTGTTGGGCATTTGCTCACCAGCCAATCACACCTCAAACCCTTTCATTTTATTTTGTTTTTCTTAATCTATCTCTAAAAAAATATATTCCTTTTAAGTTGACAAAAAATAGAATATTTTTTGTTCAAGTTCCCATAAATAGTTCCTTAATAAAATAATATGTATAAATTAAAGTCTCTTCTAGAACGGTCTAAAAAGCCAAACTTACATTTGTTACGTGAGTTTGTTTATTCAAAAGTATAACTTTTCTACTGACAGTATAAGTCATTCTTTCAGGAGACATCAAAAGTTCCTATATTAAACTCATTGAAAAATTTGAACTTGAGACGTCTCATCTATTGTGACAAAGAGATTAAAGTCTTTGTCAACTGAACTATCCCTTGGGATATGAAATTACCTTTTGTAATACATATTAAGCATAAACTCCAAACGAACCCAAAACTCACTAATTCTAAGCTTTTGGTGAGACCAACATGATATATTTTCAAAAACCTATTTTTCCAATAGAAGACCAAAAGGGTAAAATTCCCTCTTCTTCAAACATGATGAACATCTTCTATTTGGTTTACCTTTCAAACCAAAACTTCCCCTAAACCAACTTTAAATATGAAAGAAAAGAAAGAAAGAGGAAAACTTCAAAGTTTCAAACCCCACAAGAATAAGAAAGTGAAGACTTAAGAGAGAGAGAGAGAGAGAGGCAGAAGACAACAAAAACATTGCATACACAAGCAATAGCCTAAGGCTAAGCAACTTTTTTCCAATTTTTTTGCTCCTCCTCTCCCCCCTTTTCCCTCATCAAAAGCCTTGTTTTTCACTCTTTCTCCCCTCTTCCTCCAATCAAAAACCTCTCTCTCTCCTTCTTTTTGGCCTTTTGAACTGCTAAAACAGAAGAAGAAGAAGAAGAAGAAGAAGAAGAAGAGAGTAGAATTTGTTTGTTTGTTGTTGCAATACAGAGATACCCATCAATGGAAATCTCTTCCTCTTCCTCCTCAAGACTCCATGAGAGGGAAAAAAACCCTTCTTCCCCAAATAACTCTCCCAACAGCTTCAGCGCCTCCAACAATGGCGGCCTTCTCCCCCACAACCCTAAACTCCTCCCCAGATCTGAATCCAACCCTTACCCCACCACTTTCGTTCAGGCCGATTCCTCCAATTTCAAGCACGTCGTTCAAATGCTCACCGGCTCCTCCGATTCCCCCAAGCCTCCGCCGCCGTCGTCTCACGACCCCTTTCAATCCTCCAAGAGCTTCGCTATTCCTCCGATCAAGACGGCGCCCAAGAAACAGCAGAGCTTCAAGCTCTACGAGCGCCGGAATCACCTCAAGAACAGCCTCATGATCAATACCCTGATTCCTAATTTCGCCGGCGTCGGTGCCGGTGCCGGTGCAGGCGCGTTTTCTCCTCGGAACGCGGAGATTCTGTCGCCGAGCATCCTTGATTTCCCGTCTCTGGCGCTGAGCCCTGTGACGCCGTTGAACGACGACCCCTTGTTCGAGAAATCCTCGTCGTCGCCGTCGCTCGGGAGCTCGTCGGAGGAGGAGAGGGCGATCGCCGAGAAGGGGTTTTACTTGCATCCGTCGCCGATGAACACGCCGAGGGCGGCGGAGCCGCCGCAGCTTCTCTCTCTGTTCCCCGAGACATCGCCTAGGGTTTCCGGGTCGTCGTCTTCCTCGTAACTAAACAAGGGTTTGTTTGTAGAGATTCGAAACTTTTTTCTCCTTTTTTGATTGATTTTAGATAGAGAATCGTCTCGTCAATCAATTGGGTGTGGATTTGAAATTGGTTCTCTGAGAAACAGAAAAAAAGCAGAGTCATCTTGCTTTGAATTTTCACTGTACAATCTGATGAGAAATCCCATCGAAAATCGCAGAGTCCTCTTTTTTTATCTCCATTTTTCTTCCTCTATTACTCGTTTTTGGTTTCAATTTCCAGCAATTTTCTCTTCCTTTCCATTTTCCGGGAAAGTGGGTGAGAAAATTTTGATCATCAGTTCCATTCCCAAATCCCACCCTCCACAGAACAGAGAGAATGTGAGAAGTCAATAAATTAACCATTGGAAACAGAGAGTTTTGAGTTTTTGTTGAGAAATTTTGATGGTGGGTCTGAATTAGAAGGATGCATTAAACATGGTGGAGATCCATGAGGAAGATGGTTGGAAGTTCCACTCAGTGTTTGATTGATTTCTTTGTTCTACAAATGGAGCTGTAAATACTGTTGCTTTTTCTTTCTTTGTCTTTTCTGTTCTAATTTACAACCTTTTTTTTTCATCTCTAAATTTTCAACCTTCAATCTTTTAGAACAGTAAAAAGTGTTTTTAACCCATTTGAAGAGCGTTCGRTCAAAAATTCTAAGATTGAAAAAAACCAAACTCTTGCTCTYTTTCTTGGTACATAGTTTATGAATGTCGGGCTAAAATGGAAATAGTGTGGATGTGAACAATTTATTTAAGCTATTTTTTATTTGACTTGTTAACAACAAATTCTTAAGAATAAAATTGCTTTCATCTAAGATTTAGATGCCTCATGCGTATCGAAACGCTGGATGATAAATCTTGTCGAAAGAAGTCAAAAGTTGAATGAAATTTTAATCATAGCTGTAAGGATGAGAGGCGAAAAGGCAAAACTTRTGTGGTAAGGCGAAGATTCAAATATTTCAAAACTGGTTGCCTATTAAATTTCTCAAAGGAAAAACAAATTACSAATCAAATTTCAAAGTGGGTAACAACCATAATTCAAAGTCAATTGTTGTTGTTTTGAGTCTTAGATGTCATGGGAGTTGCCAAAATTTTAATCAATCACAAACTTGTTAATAAGTTTCTCCAATTAGATTCATTCCAAAGGGTTGGGTTGGAGATTTAGGTTTTGTTTGGCAAAATTAAATACAAAGTGGACAATATGAGCTGTGTGTTCACATGACACTATTTTGGGATTTACTTGCCAACTATTAATGTATATATATATACTTTTTTGGTTTATGATTCGAGGATAAATTTCTATTTGATTCTTACGTATCAAAATCTTTTAATTTAATTAGTGAAGTTTCGAAAAYGGTCTATTGGAGTATATGACATTACTTTCCATCAATGGAAAGATGACAGGTTAWTTGTAAGATTTAAGTACTATTTTAGTCTTTCTACTTTCGACTATTTCATTTTTGTTTTTTTACTTTTAAAAAGTCAGTTTTAGTCTAAGTAAACATTTTGGTCCTATTTCATGCAAAATAAAATTATTTGATACAAATTTATGGCTATATTTCAAGAAATTTAGTGAGTATAATGTCATGTTAAAACTGTGATAGAAAGATGAAATAAAAATAAAAATGAAGGGACCAAAATAATCATTTTTTAATAGTGATCAAAACGAACCTTTCGAAAGAACATAAATTAAAATGAACAAAAGTTGAAAGTAGAATAACCAAAATAGACGTTTTTAAGGTATTGAGACCAAAATGAAAAACCAAATCTAAATTTATTAAGACCGAAATAGTATTTAAACTTAATTTAAAATTAGTTTTAATGCTAACAGGCAGAAACTAACTATTTTATAATATAATATTTTACCCAATTTTTCTTTTAAATAAATAAATTTCTCTCTCTCTCATTTTTTATGTGTACCACTTTATAATAAGAGTAAAATAAATGGTTAGTCAAAATGTATTCCAATACAARATGGAAAAAATGACAATCATTGAAGTTGGAACATGTAACTAAGAAACATTCTCATTTGTCAAAAGATGTTGAGAGAAGAAAAAAAGCAATGAAAAATAAATAATTTAAGAGAGAGAGGGAGAAGAAGAAATGATAAGAGTGGAGATTGTTGAAAAAATTCAAAATTCGCAAAAAAAGAAAAAAGAGATAAAAAAATGAAAAAAAGGAAAAAAAAAAAAGTGGAGACAGGCATGTGGTGCCAAAACATAGTTGGAGAATACGTGGCAAAGTCCTTTCCAAGTCCCCCCTTTTTTTGTCTCCCTCTCAATGCCACTAAAATCCATCATCCCATCTTCATTCTTCACTTATTTTCCATTTATTTTTTAAAATATTGCATTATAAATTAGGAGACGAAGATTCGAATTTACCACTCGTAACATAGGAGGAGTACATATGTAGAAATTTTATTTTCTTTAAGTAAAAAACATTTTGGTCATTGGAATTTGAATTTGGTTTCTATTTTGCTCCTTTTTTATCATTGAAATTTAAATTTAGTTTCTATTTAATTATTTAGTTTGAAACGTGACATATTTGATCTCTGAATGACCGAATTGAAATTAAATTTAAATCTCAAGGACAAAAGATTATGATTTTTTAAATTCAGAGGCCAAATAGAAACAAGTCCAAACTTTAAGGACCAAGAATGCATTTTACCATAATTTTTATTTTTTAATATCCTTTTTTAAGGAATATTTTATCAATCATAAAATATCTCTTAGGGCATAGCTAAGTCCAAATCTAAATCACATATTTTATACTTTTCATAACCTAATCACACTTAGACTATTAGATGTTAATTTATGAGACATGTAATTAATATATTAATTCTACCTTTCTAAACTCACTCTTTTTACTATTGAGAAAGGCAAAAAGGAAGAAGGAAAAATATCCATCCACACTTGTGAAAAAACAATTGAAAGAGGAAATTAAGCCAAAAAGAAAGAGCTTTCTCCCAATGAGTGACTTTTGGTAGAATATTGCATTATTTCCAATAATGTAATTGGTTGGTTAAACTCTCTTATAGAATCCCTCGTTAAAAGAGAGAATTATAGCATTAGAGTAACACATTAAGGATGGCTTGTGAGCTCAAACTTATCTTCATTTAGGCTCACTAGGTACAATTCACATACCAAGTTAGAAAAATTCATTGAATATAGCTCCCTTTGATTGAGGTCGGTCCCTAACAATTGAATGAGATCATACGTCAAACTAGAATCATATTTTCAATTCGTGCAATGTAATTCATTCTTTATTTGTACAAATGGTAGAACTTAACTTTCTAACCTGATGGTTCCATGTAATAGGGGTATCAAATCTAGTCTCGAATAGAGTGATAGGAACATAAAAGCGTGGTGGGTGTCACTATACATGATGGTCAGAGGTAACGATAACAACGTTCATCATCACGAAAGAAATGAATAAGACTTAAAAAAGAAGAATATTGATGCTCTCAATTGCTCAAATTCCACTGCAGACAATAGAAACTAGCATTTCAAACTCAAGAGATATTGGAGAGTTATTTCTTCGTGAAACATATTCCTCTTCTCAAGCTTTATTGTACATTCTAACATAGAAAAAGAGGCACACATACCAGCTCTCTTCAGATTTCTGAAAATGATTGAATGGTCTTGAACCCATGATTGTCTGGAAGAGGAGCGTTTCCGGGTCGGATGGATATGTTCACATCCAATCCTGAAAAAAAGGATTTCAATCAGATAACTGATTTATAAACAATGGAACAAGAGATTATACACTCTTGAAGCAATCCTAATTTGAGTTAAAATATCTAAAATTCATACGAAAAACTAAAGACACGAAAAGCTTCCGCGGAGATGAATCCTTGAGGTGGGGATTCACTGTTTAAGACAAGGACACGAGTAGGCACAAGAAAAATTTTGCCCCTAATTTAATTCCATGAACTGGGAATGGCATTCTCCGTTCTCGCCCGGTTCCTTTAATCAGTAGAAATTTGGACTAAAAGTTGCTTCACATAATAATCACAGGAGAATTTCATTAGTAAATACCTGCCGCTTTTGCAGCTACAGCTTCCTGAAAGACATCGGTGACAAACAAAATTTCCGATGGCTTATCAACTCCGACAGACTCTCTGATTTCGACGTAACTGCGTGTTTCTCTTTTGTTCCTGAGAGCATATAAGGAATAGCTTGAATAATAGTACTGATATAGAACTAACATTCTCTTGTTTCTATTAGCAAAAGTAAAATTAGATTTTACCCCACTGAGGTGTCAAAATATCCAGACAAATATTTTCTTAGATCCCCATATTTCGTATTTCCAAATAAAAGCCTCTGTGCCAACCTACTGCCACTGGAGTATATGTATACCTGCGAAAATCATTTTATTTCTTCGTTATTAGAAAATAAAGATTCATCATGGTTAGCAGCCATGTCAGAAACAAATGGAGGAACTTGAATTCTCTTTATATTACAAGAGTTGAGAGTGAATACAAGAAACCAAAAATGTCAACCAAATGAGAGAACGAGAACTTTGGATGTATGTATTGCATGTTTGTGCTGCTTTGGTTATCTCTGCAAGTAACTAAAACGCTGCATGTACTTCCAGGTACTAAACCATCAACACCTTCTAAGATATCGAGCATACCGGATTGATTTTTAATAAGGTTTGAAGGTGAGAAGTTAATCATCGGTAAAACTGACTTCCATAGTACATAAACTGATAAACAAACAGATGCTGACAACATATTAAGCTCCAAGAACTATGGTAGGAAACTTTGAACTTTAAAGCTAAGGACTTCAAATGAAAAACTCAAAACCGAGTACAATAGAACTGAAATGAGTAAAAAAGACATAGGGGAACTGTAAATATTTCAAGAGCTATCCAGGGAAGAGGATTCATTTTATTTTATCTTGCAACAAAAAACAGAAGACTACAGTAACAACAGATATAGATATTACTGGAGTAAAGGTCAAGGACCCATAGTAGTTTCCATATGGGAATAATGACTATCAACATAGATTTATAGGGAAACTAATTCAGGGGTGAATCTGATTCGACTTTAAAAGAAGTATTTTTCCAAATGTTTCGTCTCATCCGTAAAAGTACCTTTAAAAAATTTTAAATCACTTAAACCTACGTTAAAGTGCTCATAGATGAAGCACTTAATTATGCTTTTCAAGTGTGAAGGGAAAAGTATATGTGACCTTTATGCCCGATGCGTGCCACCTCTCCAGAGCTCTTGGTACATCCTCAAAAACTTCTCCTTTCAATTCATTGTTCTCAAATCCAGTTTCCCATATATGACCCTGTCAATGCTGGATGTTAGCTCTAGCCCAACAATAGTAAGTTATTATCTTCATTTCTTTATTAAATCTTTATTTTCTTCATTAATAATTAGTTCTGCTTACTTGCAACTGTTTTAGGGCAGGAATCTTCCTGTCAGCTTTTATCATGGCTTCAACATTTGCAACTAAAGCTGCAACAACCTCCTCTTTTGCAGAATCATCAAGAGGAATAGGCACAGCACCAGCAACGCCTTTTTCCAGATCATCTTGCACCTGCAGTTGTATTTTCAGTGTTACTAATTCCAGCACAGGTTAACTACACTACTTTTCTAACTATGCTTAAACTGAACCATTTATTGTAAAATTTTGCTTAAAACCCAAAATAGTAAGAGGGTTATGTTGAATTTTATGCTTCACTAAATAAAAAATATATCAAATGTCTTAGACATTAAGTACCACAAGGCAGCTCTTGTTAAAATTCTCCATTTTATCATATAGCCATTCTTCAATAATTGTACAAGTCTCTGAAACTTATTAAGAAAATACTCTAACCCAACATCATAGATTTTTTATGATCTAGTTGAACTCCTGAACAGAACTATTTTACCTGAGATCGCAACAACTTAATATCCTCTTTAGTCTCTGCAGTGTCGAATGTTAGAGACAAATGTTTGCGAACATTGTTGCAAGCATATGGGAAGAGAACATCAGTAACGAATGATATTGGAGTAGTAGTTCCTTCTATGTCAAGAACAATACAATGCTGCAAACAAAATTATCGAAAAATGAAACTGAATCATAGAGTTAATATTTCAAACTCAAGAGAAAAAAAAAACAATAAAGAACAATTTAATTTAACAAAGACGTGTACATACATACACACCACACGCACAGATTGAACTAAAATCAAATTGCCCAAGTTTATAGTCTATAATCTATATCAGAGCTACAACCTTTGAAGATGCTTCATTATTGCAACCACCTACAACAACTTCTTTGAGATTTTGGAGGGGACCATGATTTGGAGTAGACCAGTCTAGGCCCAATTGGTAAAGCTTTATGGCCGCATCAAAGAGGTAGTGGTAACATTCAGCCTGAAACAACGAGTGGACTATTAGAACATTTAAGTGATGTCTGAGTATCGAAAGTAATATCTTCCCTCGCCCTGCATGCTGGATCGTCACTGTACAAATCTGAAAATTTTGGAAAGTAGGCAAAAGTTCTTATTTTTTAATATCCATGAGTTTTCTAGGCCAACTTGTGGACATCTTGACTAATTGTAGAGGTAACTGTTTGACTCCACAACATTTGGCAAGAAAAATCCTAGGTGGGTGGCCACCATGGTTTGAACTTATTCCCTCTCAACTTTTTACATTTTTTACTAGCCTCAATAATAGCTAAAAAGAGTAGGCAAAAGTTCAAATTTGTCAAATCTTACACTCAAAATGCATGTAGATTATAGATGTACCTTATTTATCACTGTTCCAGAGTATAGGTGAAGCTATGAAAACACAAGTGTTTCAAGACTTCAATACCAAAATGAGGCATTTAAAGTGATTGCAGGAACCATTCTATTTAAATCAAGGCAAAAAAAAAGGCTAAAAATGATTAATATTACTACCTTGACACAAATTGGTATACAGAGAGAGTGAGTCTCAGAAAATGAGGTCTATCAACATGGCCCAAGGCCCCAAACCAATTACTATGCATAACAAACCTGAGTTTTTGCATGGATCCATGAATCTCCCCAAACATAGATGCCATGGTTTCGGACAAGCACAGCTGTTGTTTTCGGGTAGGCTTCAATCTGTAGAAAGCAAATAAAATTGCATTTACTTTTACACATGATTTACTAGTGAAATGTGAATTTTAGAACAAAATAAACACTTGTCTAGAGTTGCATGGTCTTTTACTGGCAGGAAAAGTTTGTTATCATCTATAAACCATCTAAGGTTATTCCATTGATCAACATCAAGAAATTTTCCATCATTTTCGTACGAATGACAAGATAGCTAGTATTCTGCAAAATGATGTTCAACATTCCTTGAAGGACACAGAGATCAGTGTGGTGAAGTCACCCAACATATATACATTTGGGATCTGCATCGATATTAATAAATTTCTTTCCAAATAAAAAGACTGCATTAGTCCATTATTTGTCAAGTGGAAATGGCGTACATCCTTGTTCCTCTTTGTTATTCCCCTAGAAGTTTTTTTCTTTTCTTTTCTTTTTCTCTTCTTTTTCCCCCTTGAAGTATTGTTAATGATTGAAGATCAACAAGGAAAATTGGCCAATAAAATGCAAGTTAAATGCATTAGAACTCCATACCGCTTTAGCTAGAGATTCTGTGAGCTCGTATTCATAAGCCGTATTTTCTATAATGGGGATCACAAGTTCATCGTAGTAACCATGCCCTTTGATTCCTTTGATCATTTCCATATGAGTAATCTGCAGTAATAAATAGTAAGGAACAATTTAGAAAAACAAGAAATACAAACGGAAACAAATGTATAATAAAAATATAAATAAACAGGATAAAAAGATGTTCTTATCTTGCCTTCCAAAGGAACAAGATAATGAACCTACATGACAGAATTCCCATGCTAGCATCATAACCTTATGCATATCTACTATATTTCTTTGCTAAAATATTTAGCTAATTCTCCACTAACAGCAGCTTAACAAATCCAGATACAATTCATGGTAGCATCTTCCCAAAGAATATCTAATTCTAGTCCATAGAGCTAGAAATAATTTCATACGAAAGGCAGCTCAGCTATATAGCCTTCACCCAGATCAAAAGTATAATCAGAACTGGAAAAAAAAGAGACATGTACTGGATGCAGAAGAACAAAAATGTGGGCAGACAAAAATTGCAGAATTGGACACATAGAACACTCATCCTTGTGGATAGATGCCATGAGGTGAAAACTCACTCTAAATTCTTTTGATGATGGGTTGATCATTGTTGCAAGACACGATTCTATCCCATGACTGTGAATAACAGCTCCAGCATCTCGCATTTGATATGCCTTAAAAACAAGAAAAAGTGTCAGATATTGATAATCGATCTTGCAACTGCAGCACAATCAAGAATCTAAAAGCAGAAAGCGGTCAACCTGAATGAAGTCAATGAATCATAATGATTCAACTTTCTGATTAATACAACAAATGCAGTGTGTCAGAGAAGAAACGATACCATAGTATTTAGCTTCATGCAAAGGGATTTTCATAAGGAGAATACGATAATGATTTGATTAATAGAAGGCTCGAGTAAACAGAAATTGATAGTTTCTGTAAGCATTAGCAATTATAATATTATGTTTCTTAAACCTTAATAAAAACATATGATTCACCAATTTCCAAGAGAATCTGTATCATATTATTGTTGTGTATAGATCCTTTGAAGCATAACCTTATATCATCATGAAAAGAATAAGGACTCCTTATAATTATTAGGTAGCCTTCATAACTTCTCACTTGTACAATGAGAAACATAAACTTGTATTTAGAATGTAAAGTGTAAACCAGCTTGTGAAGATATGATATTTCTATTATTTGCACCAAGGTGGAAACAGAAACAGAGGATCCAAGCAACCAAGAACTGAAAAGCTTCAAGAAACTTGATCAGTATCAATCACGATTCATGTCAGACAACTGTGATTGTATTATACTACTAAGAGTACTTCATTCGAAAATACATGTTGTAACATCAAAAAAAGTTATTGGACGTATAATCTATAATCAAATTGTACAGACAACAAAAATAAATTAATACACAAGGCTATGCAATTCTTGGAAGTTTAATCAAATTGACAAAAAAAAATGACATAGTAAATAACTTGTCATCCAACGTGAAGAACAAATCACACAGCAGCATGGTAGAAGAAGGATACGAAATCAAAACCTTCATGAAAAGGGGACCACAATCTGAACATTTTGGAGGCTTGTGTGGGTATGGCTTCGCGGTAGGAGAGGATAAAATGGAACCATCAGGAGATAACACGTACATATCCTCCGGTGCCATTCGCTCTTTCTGGACGCCTGTTAACACGTGAAAAATTGGTATGGGAACCATACCAGATGTCCAACATTTACAAATCAATACAGTTGCTAAGAGAAATAGACAGAGAGCCATGTTTAGGCCAGCAACAAAGCTAGCAGATGACAAAGTAAACTGCTGAAGATACACAACAAGCGTTTGAGATTGAAACTGAGACTGGCTTAAGCATCCCCCATAAAGCCAGATGCCCTTATCCATGAAACATAGGCAAGTAATAAAACCATGCTTGAACACACAGATACCTCTAGACAAATAATCAAAGCTCTAATAACTATCTTAAAAGAGCAATCCAATAACGCCATCCAGAGCACGGAAAATGCAAACCAGGGATTGAATAACAGCAAATATGACCCCAACAAAGTAAATAGCAAATCCCCATGAAATGGGAGGCAAAAAAACTGTGGATGCAACCCAGAGAAACGTGCAAAAGCTTGGTAGACCTCCAATGACTCTTCCCAAGACCAACCAACTGGGGAAACAAAAGAAAACTATAAATCAGACAACCCAGAGGGAGAAGGTGGAGAGGGAGGCGAATAACCAACCAGAAGGGGACATGACGACGAGCTGATTGTGCTTGGGAATGGCATCATCATGGACCTTGATGGTTATACTGCCACCAGTTCCGGAAACCCATCCGAGCCCATAAAAATGGCGGCATAGCTCTGAAAGTAGAGCCTTAGTTTCATGGACCACCTTACTCTCCAAGTAATCAAGCGATGTTGTCGCCGTCTTCTCTCCGTTCGCACCCACTTCTGATGCCGCAGCCATTTGGGCACTTTAATCTGTGTTAAAATGGAGAAGCTCTCGAAGATATTGGGTACTTCAGCTCGGAATGAAGAAGTTCCAATAGACCCTTATAGGTGAGATTCAGAAGGGAATCGCTAGTTGAATTCTTTATTCCTCTTTAGCTCAGTGTACAGAGGATACAATCAGAGCACTGCGCTTGAAGTTGAAGCCGCCATGGTTTGACCCTTTTGCTGACTGGAGAAAAACTGGAATTTTTGAATTGGGATTATTCGCTCTTGGGCAATTTTCCCTTTACTTTCTCCACAATTTCATTTATTTCAGTCGTTTGTTAGAATTTGGCGATCTTCATTCTTCGGGTATTAAATTTGTGTACAAATTCGATATCTGGATGGCTAGAGCCTAGATGGTCTAAAAAGTTAACTGGGTCAGAATTTCCAATGGGATCATTGAATTTTTTGCTCCAAAATTCTCTCATTTCCCCTCGTTTCTCAATGGATAAGTTCCGCGGAATATCGTGGCAATGTGATAAGCTACTCGTGATTTTATTTTTTTTTTGTTGGTTAAATTCTTTTAATCTTCAATAGTATTCGAAAATGTAATTCTATATCTATGCAAGTATTTCAAAAGGTTGAAAAATATTTGTATTCATCGAGAGAAGTTGTGATTAAACCCTACAAACAAACTTAGCAACTCCATATCAAAACTCATCATTACTAAAAATTTAACTATTTCCACATTAAACTAAAAAAATTAACGACTGTCCGTTTAAGAATAACATTAAAAATATATTTTTTTTCTCAGTTGTCGAGACTTTAATAGTGGTATGCAAAAAAAAAAAAAGATGCTAACCAGTCAAAATCTAAATATTGTTCTAAAATTTCACCTAGTTTTCTAAAAAGATTTTTTATGGTCGACATAAACATAGTTTAACCGATTAAAATATTACTTATCTTCTAAAATGTTTGAAGTTGAAACCCACTCCCCCTACTTTTAACTAAAACGAATAATAATAACTAAACACGAAGAAATAACTTTCTTAAGTATTTATTTACCCAATAAAACTTCCTTGTATTAAAAAAAAAAGCTTTTGCATTTCTTTTATATATATATATTTTAATTCAATGCATTATTAGGAGGTGGATGAACCATACCTTAACTTAAAAGCGCTAGTAGTTGTGTGCAACAATGTATTTGGTTATTTTATTTGTCTTCCCAATTTGTTTAGTATCATACATGGATAGTGGAGATTCGAACTCGTAAATTTATAATTACATATATTAACTAGTTAATATAATCATCTTTTATCATTTCATTTATGAAAAAAAAGTTGGAAGCTTTATTGCATCAATTTTTGCCATGTTTTTATAAATTATGATCACAGTGTTCCATTTCTTACCTTCTTACCCTTCAAAAAGAACAGGAAAAAGAGAGAGAAAAAAGCTTTAAACCTACGCATTAAAAAGGAAAATTGAAAAGAGAATTACATTCTTGCTCTGGAAAGTTGGAAACAACAGAAACTTGGGGACGGGCCGGTCTACCCATTTTATAAAAACCAAATATTGGATAAACCCATCATCTCATCGCCCATTTTGCCGCTATTTTTGGTGCAATTCCACCTCTATCCTTTCTCCCTGGTTCCATGTCTAGAGGAACAGACCGTCTGGTGAAGAATTTGAAGAAATTTGCGGACTTTCAGTACAAGCTCTTCACAACTCGGTATGGGCAGCAGGTCATTGACATACTCGAGTTTCCATTTAAGGTGGTTTTATCCCCTTTCACGCTTGCCTTCGACATTGCCGGCTCAGCTCCTCGTGGCTTCGGCGTTCCCGAGCTCATCTCCAAGCTCTCATATGCCTCAATCTTTGTAAGTTTTTTAAGTGCAGAGTTTGGTTTCTTGAATGTGAGTTATTTGCTAATAATTACAAGAAATTTAGAGAATTTTGTGTTTTGGGCGAGAGTGTGATTCTGAAAGTGGACTGGTTTTGCTTAAGGTTTAAGCTGGCTCTGTATGTTTGCAATGTGCTCAGTTATGAAGATTAGTTTTATGCAGTATAGTATTGAGTCTTTGGTGGCACAGAACTGGAGTATTTACCATTACAGATGATTGGAGGAATCGAATAGTAACTGATTCCCCACAGATCCGAGGTAGTAATTTTTCAGTGGCAGGAGTGAAGGAATGATCCTCTGAATATTGTTGAAGTCGCTGTGGCTGGCAGCTGAAGGCGAGCTCAAAGATAAACTGGTGTGCGACTGCTGGGAGTGTTTGTTGAACTTGGGCGTACCACTCACATTCATGACGCCTCAACATGTGGGGAGAGAAACAACTACAAGTTTGCGTATGATAAGCTAAAATTGATAATGGGGTGCGTCAAAGAACCTGACTTGGAGAAGAATCATAGTGAACATGAAGAAATTTTTCAATCATCATGTCGAGGATAAAATCTACATCTAATTGTGTGTTTTTTCCTTCCATGAAAGATCAGATTTGAACCCAATGTCCCATCAGATAGGTGGTGTTGATGTTGACATGATAGTAGGTTCTATATAAAGAAAGATGTGTATTCTTTCATTTTCTCAATGAAAGCCGGTTCTTTCATCTAAAACGATGGTTTCAACTGTTTCCTGAGCTAATGCACAATGCTTAGGCTTTGTAATGGACTGTGAAACACTGTAACCACATTTTGTTTCTTGGATGACTATAACTTTAAGGTGCTTCTTAGATAAATACAATAAGCAACAATCGGTATTCTGTCATCAAGTCTGTAGGCCCAATCAACATAACAAAATTTTAATATGGAGAGTTTCAATCGAGTCGTGGCGTCATAGTCAATTGTCCTCTTGAGGTATCCTAGTACTCTCTTCAGAGTTTTCTCTATGAAAGTCTGGTTTCGTTATAAAAATGGGATTGAGCCATGTATTTGTCAGGTATTGAAGGGCTCTTTTGATGTTGCCGCAGCAATAGCATTACTTGGAGGTTTACTGGACTTAAGGGACACCATTTTTGTAGTGGAGATGGGAGATGGGCATGGTTTTGCTTGATCCATATTTTCCCTGTGTTAAAGATCTTGAACATATGTTGCCTAAGACAAGGAACAGCCTTGTAGGTTTTTGATGTATTGTGGCGATTCCTTTTATAGAAGTCGAGGTGGTGGCCAATAGATTGAGATGTAAAACCTGTAATTTGTCGATCAATTATTTGGGAATGCCTTGAGGTGATAGCCCTAAAAGATTGGAGTTTTGGGTTCCCGTTGAGAAAAAAAAATGTATTATAAACTGAAAAAAGGGAAACATTTTTGCCTCTTTAAATGTGGAAGATCGATTCTTTGCCCGGTGGTCCTTGCAAATTTACCTACCTATCTCATGTGCTAGCTGTCTTGTTTTTACTGTTAATCTCTCTCTCTTTTTTT